GGAGGGGGGTGGGAGGAAGAGGAGGGGAAGAGGAGGAGGGGGAGGAGGGGAGGAAGAGGAGGGGAAGAGTGGAGGAGGAAGAGGACGGGGAAGAGTGGAGGAGGAAGAGGAGGGGGAAGAGTGTGGGAGAAAAAGGAGTGTTAGAGGGGAATGGAGGAAAAATGTCAGAGAGAAGGTGGAGAGAACGGGGAGGAATGTGGGAGAAGAAGGATAAGTGATGGGAACTATAGGGAAAGGAGTGTACATGGGAGAGGAAGACTAAAGTATTATGGAGGGAATGGGAGAGAGATACGGAAAGGGACAATTTGTTGTGGAAGAGAACAGGTGGTAAATGGAAGAGGTACCAAGGTAGCAATGGATTTGTTGTACTCAGCTGAACTAAATCGTCTGTATTAAAAACGCATTTACGCTTTGCGTTTGTGGCGTATGGCGTGCGTAATATTGGCGTATGAGAGAGAGAGAGAGAGAGAGACCCATGTATATCCATGACTGTATTCCCCATGTGCGTATGCTAAAAAAATACGTCGTATGTGTGTGTGTACGCCATGATGACATAGCGTATATGTGCGTAACACTTAACATGAGCACAAGTGATAGGCAGATAACTCCTCTCTCTCCTCTCTCTCTCTCTGACATGACACACGGGAATGAGAATAAAATATGACATGGCCAAGAATAACAAACAGACATAACATGATCAAGCTGACGTGACAGTAACATGACCTGACAGTAACATAACGTGACAGTAACATAACGTGACGGTAACAAACATGACAGTAACATGACACACCTTCACATGACAGTAATATAACATGATAGTAACATGACATGAAACTAACACGACACATCAGCACCATAACGTAACACCGATATAACAAAGAGGTTTTCAGTGTTACAGCGACGTGTCTGGAGGTTAAGTTAAACTAATTGACTTACTGTAGTGTACCCTATGTGGCTTCCCCCTTCACTACTATTACTTACTTTCATTTTTTACATTTACATTATACGCATTTACAATTATATTTACATGTACAATATTATTCATACCTACTAACATTTTCATTGCGCACTTACATTTACATTACAACGAATGCATATTTACACTTACATTTGCAACATCATTTACAAACACTTACAAAATCACTTACATATACTTACATACACCTACATTTACACTACCATCTACCACACTTTTATACTTACTTACAAAACCACTTACACATATTTACACTTACAAATACACCACTTACACCAATTTTTACTTATACTTCAAGGTATACTTATGAAGGGAGGACATCTTCTCAAGCTAATTAATCAGACATTGGATTCTTGGCTTCTAATTAATTACGTTTTAATTTTCACTCAAGCTAAAATAAATTCCCCAGATTTTCTTGGAGTGTAAGTTAGAAAAGTGAATTTATAAGTAATTTATTTTTATTTTTTGACTTTTGTAAGTACTTTAGTGTGTCTGTAAATGTTCCAACACTGTCTGTATCTATGTCTGTCTATCTGTCTGTCTGTCTCACTGTCTGTCTCTACGAAAAAAAATCCTAAAAATATTAATAAAATTGTTTTTTTTACAGGTAATTGTAAAAAAAAAAAATACAATACTTTACGATTTTTTTGACGAATACAATAAAAATCTAACAGAATTGTCTTACAGTTTTTTGTTTTTATTTGTTTTTCTAAAAAAAATCAATACACAAACGTCGATCAAAAAGTTTGTATTTCTTTTTTTAACCTAACTGGAAAAAAAATACTCGGAAATAGCCCAGTCATCACACGTCAGAAAATTCTCGTACGATAAAATCAATATTCATCTCAGCCATCGTTCATTTTATACGAATATATATTTTTTTTAGTGCATATGTAAACGCTTTCAGAAGTTATAGTCAAACCTTTTCAATGTTTATGAAGAAATATTGAAAACAAATATATACAACTTTGGTCACAAATATGACGGCTTTTTTTTATTTAATTTTACATACGTGATTTTTTTTTTACATTATCATATACTTCAGAAAGTTTCCATTGTATTTCTATTTATTTTCTAAAGATATTAAATAAACTCAGTTATAATAAAACATTAAAATAAAATAACTTAAAAATATTAATATTAACATTATTTTATAAGCTAAATGTTTCTTTTTCTAAACTCAAATATTGCAATTATTTTTTCTTCTGTTTATGAGTTTAAAAAATAAGACCAAATCTCCATTGGTCACGAAATATTGGAACACACGATCCCAATAGTATCAATATTTGTTATTTTCGTTCGCAATAATTATATCATACACAAACGCCTTTTTTAAAAAAACACTGTATGTGTAAATATTACCAATAATTCCAATAGTATTTTTATATAATTCGTTTGGCTTATTTACACGTAAAAAAAATTACCCTGAAAAAAAATCACAAAGTTGGAATTTTTCGTCATGTGAACCTGAACGTGCATATTAAAATGACACTCGTGATGTTAGTGACGTAAACATGACGTCAGATATAGGTAGACAAACGATCCACTTCTCTACAAAAACAAAACACCGAGTGATGATGGATCCGGCAGGCTGATGACCCTGGTTGGTCATTCATATTTTTACATTGGTGAATATTATTTGTTGTTTTAGGGGCCTCAACTGCCAGGGTTTGTGCCGTTCAATATACCTCATTTTGCATAACGAACAACTGTAAAAAAAAAAAAAAAAAAAAATTCTAGCATTGGTATATTTATGAGCTATATGAACTTTATCGATTCCTCTGTAATATATATATATATATATATATATATATATATATATATATATATATATATATATATATATATATATATATATATATATATATATATATATATATATATATATATATATTTCAGTTATATTATTCTCTTATAAATTAATTTTACTTCAGTATCGCTAAATAAATAATTTAAATAAATAATAAGAATTACATTATTTAGACTACGTCTCTAATTAATATATAAAACTGCACTTAGGTAAACACAGAGGGAATACGAGCTTTTTTTTTTTTTTACGTGTATGTTCATGTTGGAAAAAAAAATAACGAACGCCTTCTCTGTTTTAAATGCCTCTTAATATTTGAGTTAAAATAGATTAGGTTAGGTTAAGTTGGAATTAGGTTGTTAAACTGAAATTGGTTATGTTAAATTAGCTTAAGTTATCTATAAATTAGTTTAGGTCAGGTTAAATTTACGTCAGTTAAGGTTAAATTAGGTCAGGTGCGCTTAGGTTTAACAAAGATAAAAGGCTAAGTTTGTCAAAAGTCACGTTCGGTTAAGTTAGACTAAGTTTGGCTAGGTTTTGGTGAGGCTAATCTCGGTCAAAAAAGTCCTGGAAACTTTCATCATCAAGTAAATATTTATGTTGCTATACCTACAACGACCAACACTAGACATCCATCCAACTGTATATTTATGTTACTGTACCTACCACGACCAACACTAGGACATCCACCCCACTGGATGTTTACATTTGGGGCATAATCATCAAGACCTAAATTCCAGTTTTGGACATTATAGGCAAGACGATCCAGGGTGAACTCTCAGCATACGACATTTCAATCTGGATGTTTCACTATAGGAGGCTTCTAGAAGGATGTTTGAGCCTAATATGTTTCAGAAGATATTTTAAACCTTAGATAATCCAGCTCTGGATATTTTTAATCCCAGGATATTTCAGTGTTGATGTTTTAGTATCGAGATGTGGAAAATTATGATGTGCGACCCTTCACCACACACACTTATCTTTACCAAGCTAATTTATCATAATTCAGAGTGTTCGTTCGTTTTCTGATGACATACAGCTGAGGTGATACTTAACTTTTTTACTAATAATCTTAAGTTTCATCTTGAGAGTGTGAGACTTTGAATCTTTTTAGTTAATATCAGTCTACTTGTAGGGCGGGGCGACGGGGGGGAGGGGGGGGTTAGTGAGGGGTCTCTTGGTGATAAGGGGGAGTGGGTGGATGAGACGTCGTGATGAACCAGACCGTATTGGCGAGTTGGCTCAGTCGAGGTGATGTTTCCTGAGTGTTTACCTCCCTTTCTCCCTTCTTTCCTCCCTTCATTTCTCTCTTTCTCCCTTCATTTCTCTCTCCCTTTTTCCTTCCTCTCTTTCTCTCTCCCTCCTCCAAATTACTAAATCTATCCAATATGTCCTTCAATTATCTCTTTAATCACCGTTGTTCTCATCGTCTGCAGTGAGTCGCTCCCAATGGCAACAAAAGATATGTTAACAAAAAAAAAAATTCTCCTCGTTTTCTTTCTAAATTCAGATGAGAAAAAAAAATAAATTCAGGCAAGAGGAATAAATTCATCGTATAAATTATAATGTAACACGGAGGCTCTTGTAGTCTCCACAGGTCATTGACTCTTGTATACTGACTCACACAGACACACAAGTTGTTCCGTGATTGTTTATTTATTTTTTTTCATTGACAGAATTTACCAAGATGAAACATATCTTAGTAACAGAGAACCATGACGTACCATCCACCCACGACCCGCCCATGACCCACGACCCTCCCATGACCCGCCCATAACCCCTCCCACCCCATTCGTTGCAGTTAAAGATGAATTAACACTCGGACAACTTGCTTTTGTTGTGGGCGTGACGAGGACACACCCAGGACTAGCTGATATAAAATCCTGAGTGTCTTAGAGTGAACAAAAGAGCTAAATTTGTCTTATAAAATTAACACCTCACTTATTACATTATTAACCTTGGTGAAAATTATAAAATATGAATTAATATCTTTTTATTGACTCCTATACCAAATTACGTAAACAGATTGGTGTGGGTTTTTTTTCAAGTTATTTTGTTTTCCGTTTTCATGAATTCCCTCCCCGGGCTCGAGGCGTCCAGTGATGCATCACCAGCGATCACCAACCCACACTCCACGACAGAGATACTGGGCAGCGACGACAGCCCCCAGTGTTTAGGGCCTGATGATGGGTCTGGTAGCGTCATCCAGCACCTTACCTGGGTGGAGGAAGATACGGACGGACTCTTGATACCTGTTGATCTAGTGTCGGGGGGGGGAGGAGACGCTCTCACACGCGTCCTCCCTCGCTCACCGTGAACACGCAACTGCCTGTCTCGCGCCCACCCTGCCCTCACCCCCGACCTCCGCTGTCACCCTAGTCTCATCCACCCCCCCACACACACACCCTTGTCATCATGCAAAAGCTCAAGTAGTATTACCAGTCAGGTGTTTACGGTAACGAACAATGCCAAGACGACCAGGTGTCATGTAGAGCAGCAGTACCAATACAGGACGTTAGACTGTGAGTGAGGGTATTAAAGTTGTTGTACTGTGTGGAAACTGGCTCAGTGTTCTGCGTTTCAACCCCACAACTGCTAGGACGCTTAAGGGTGTTTAATCAACAGGTGAAATAAAACTAAACTAACTAAACCTTAACGTAAAGTCATTATACAAAACATACACACAGGTGAATTCATTCGTACATTATATATCACCTGAAAAGATAATGATATTCTAACATATTCCACCTGAAGATTAATCACCCTGATGCTACCTGTGGGATTAGATTACGTTAGGTTAGATCAAGTTAAGGTTAGATTAGGTTAAGTTACGTTTGGGTAGTTAATTAATCTTCAGGTGATAAATACGACTAAGTACATGGTAACAGAATCACTCTAGGTCACTCGAGCTCTCAGGAACAATAGAGTCTCAGAGAACATCAACTATCGCAGCCGTCACAGCGAGAAGATGTGATGGGGGAGGTTTGAATTGTATGCCGAGACGGTAACCCCACTAGTTCTAACACCCCCCCCAAGGCTACTCACTCCAACAGCCACCCACCCAACACCCACCCACCCAACAACAGCTACCCGCCCAACACCCACTCCACCACCCAACAGCCACCCACCCAACAGCCACCCACCCAACAGCCACCCACCCAACAGCGCCACCCACCTAGCAGCCACCTGCCCAACAGCCACCCACCACCAACAGCCACCCACCCAGTAGCCACCCACCCAACAGCCACCCACCCAACAGCCACCCACCCAGCAGCCACCCACCCAACAGCCACCCACCCAGCAGCTACTCCCCCATAAACGTGCCACCTGTCAAATCAAATAATATAACCTCCTCTTCATCCATTTCACCCATTCATTCTCTCTTCCCTCTCCTTCATCCATCCATCCATCCTCTCTCACACACTGTCTCTCACTCTCTCTCACAAAACAATACAACTTATCCCACAATAACTTTGGTGAGCACGACAGAGGGATGAGCGAGGCTTTTAGTGTTGTTCCGTGAGGGGTTATTTTTGTCTCTCCCTCCCTCTCCCTCTCCCTCCCTCTCCCTCTCTCCACACTTATCACCTGTCTTCCTCCCTCCATCCTTCCAACACAACCCCTCCCCCCCTGTTTCTACCCATATTTCTGTCCCTCCCTCCAACACTCCTTCCCTCTCTCCAACACTCCCTCCCTCCCTCCAACACTGCCTCTCTCCCTCCATATATACCGAGTCAGAGAAAATTAAAAACATAAATAATATCCGAAAACGAAATGAAGAGACGGAGAAGGAATACAGAGAGAGAGAGAGAGAGAGAGAGAGAGAGAGAGAGAGAGAGAGAGAGAGAGAGAGAGAGAGAGAGAGAGAGAGAGAGAGCACAATAAAGACCCCGTGAGTCTACCTATCAATTCCTGAGTCTTATTCTGTGAAAGAGTCTTGGGATCTTCTAAAGGATCAGCAAGGTTAAGCATCACAGGTGTCTCTGCTTTAGGTATTTAATCTCCTGTCTAACCTCCTCTTTAACTTGGCATTGGTAACACTGCTTAGGGAGAGAAGGAGGGAAGGAGAAGGAGGGGAGGAGAAGGAGGGAGGAGAAGAAGGGGGGGGAGGAGAAGGAGGGGGGAGGAGAAGGAGGGGGAGGAGAAGGGAGGGGGAGGAGAAGGAGAGGGAGGAGAAGGAGGGGGAGGAGAAGGAGGGGGAGGAGAAGGGGAGTTGAGGAATGATGAGAAGGGGAGGAAGAGGAGGAGGAAGATAAGAGAAGGAAGAAGAGGAGGAGGAGGAAGATAAGGGAATGAAGAAGAGGAGGAGGAGTTGAGTGCTGTTGACCTTGTGGCGTTGGTAATACTGTGTCCAAGGGAGAGAACAGAAGGAGTTGATGGAGGGAGAGAGGGGAGAGAGAGGGAAGAGAGAGAGAGAGTAAAAAGTGAAGCAGAGTAAGGAAGAGAGAAAACGTGAGGGAATGAAGACAGGAAAAAAACACAGCCAAGGAAAGAACGACGAGAGAGAGAGAGAGAGAGAGAGAATTAGCTGATCAATAATTCTTTCCATCATCCTCCCACACCTCCCACACATCTCCCAAACATCCTACACTCCTTCCCCACATCCTACACTCCTTCCCACACATCCTACACTCCTCCCCACACATCCTGCACTCCTTTCCCACACATCCTGCACTCCTTCCCCACACATCCTGCACTGCTGCCATCCTGCCAAATCCTACGCCCACAGGACAGGTAATTATCCAGGTCGTCTGTGGTCAGTTCCTATACGACTTAGGACCCAAGGACTCCCTGAGGCTGTGTGACTCTCTCTCTCTCTCTCTCTCTCTCCTTGCAGGTCATATCCACCAGTTGCCTCACCTCACCAGGAAACACACACCATTGTTTTTGTTTTCATTTTCAGTGATTCCTTCCTGCCGCTGGCGTGTGTGTGAGGTGACTCGAGAGACAGACAGGGCCATGGAGGGCGTCATTACTCTTGTTTGGAATGTACTCTCGTGTTTACTCTTGTTTGTGTGTCTATGTTGTCTGGGTGTCTCTGTTGTTTGGGTGTATTGTTTATGTCTGTGTCGTTTGGGTTAGGATAGGTTAGGATAGGTTAGGTTAGGTTAGAAGCCATCTCGTCGAACACCCCATCAGGAACACACTAACTGCCCAGAGTCCGCCTGACAAAGGATCGTAATACAGTGCCAGAATGGGTGGCCTACCTTGGCAGAGGAGAGGGGACCTTGGCAGTGGTGGCACCGGAGGTTGGGATAATGTGGCCCTCATCTCGTGAACCGGAGATCCGAAGGAAGGGTCGAGAATGTCAAATTCCCCATCCCTTTAGTAGAGCTGTTGAGAGAAAATGAATTCCATGTAATTTAGGAGAAACTCGTGGGTTTTTAATGCGAGTCAATGTTTAATTAATTATTTATCAAACTTTGTGGGTAAATATCAATAAATATTCCCTTATGTAATGTATCTAGACTTCCAGTTTGTCTGTATATGTTACGTAGAATGAATGAAAAGCTGTAAACAAAGTAAATGAAAACAATGATAAATAAAAGAAATTCAAAGCATTAATTAGGTTACGTGTTTATAAGAACCAGGTATAAAGAAAATAGCAAAACTTCGCCAGCCATGCTAACAGAACTAAACATTATCAAAGGTAATGTTTATACTCGCTTCTTCGCTCGACGTCGATTGACCGCCTCGTCCACAGCACCAATGGCTGAGCTTCGCGGCCTCACACAGACGAGCGGGGAAATAACACGGCAGCTTCATGAATTCAAATTAACCTTTACTTGCTGTACATTCTTTCCCGTGTATTTTCTATGTATTTCTGCTACATTTTAGAAAATTTAGACTTTTTAAACCCAATTACTGTAGAGACGTAATATGTATAAGTACTGTGAACATTAAACCGTATTACTGTAGAGAAGTACATGTATAAGTACTGTGAACATTAAACCGTATTACTGTAGAGAAGTACATGTACAAGTACTGTGAACATTAAACCGTATTACTGTAGAGAAGTACATGTATAAGTACTGTGAACATAAGATTATAGACGTTCTTTTGTTTACATTTTTAACCCAACATGTAAACAGTATATTGATCAGCACCATCTATAATTCGACTCATTTTTTTTATTTTTAAATCTAAAAAAATTCCTCGCCAGTATAGTTTCTTGATTTACTGAATCGTTGGTTAGCAGAGATGATAAATTCCTTCATTAAAAAAAAAAGAAACTAAACACGGGTATATATCGATTATTTACAACAGGAAGGTGTCGAAGTTTGATGGTCGTGGTGCCGAGGTGTCAGCTATAACTAACCCCACCTTCTGACCTTCGTAACACCGTACCTCAACGACTGTATCCTTAACCACTGATATATTTACCCGACCCGTGACGTCAGGATGTTAAATATTTATACCCCAAAGGACTTTTTTTTTTCCTTTCGACTCCAATACGTCCAAAATCGATGCCCAAACACAGAACACAAACATCAGGGTACAGTAGCTGTTTGTTTTCATCTTCCACATTCATATACCTTTACTTGAAGCACCAGGTTGGGGGTATTGTAATCCACGATACACTTTCTACGATATCTTCCACGTATTGTTCTCCCTAAGGTGGGTCTTCAGCTGGTCTCAGTGGTCTCTCTCCCTCGGGGTATCGAACCGATGTTTTTTTTCTGGGGGAGGGGAAGGGGAAGGGTCTGTGTGAGAAATAAATGACCTTTTCTGAAGAACTGGGAAGAGTCCAGCTCATTTTTTTTCGTTTGTTTTCATTCTCATTCATTTGTTATTCATTCCTAATCATTTGTTGTCCATTCTCAATCTCTTATGCATTCCCAGTCATCTGTGTCCAGCTGTCACTCGAGGAAAACTCAACAAGGAAAACCAAAAACAAACAAAAACGAAGGAAAGAAAGGGAAATATTTTTTTATCTATACGAGGCAGGTCACTCGCTTCTGAGATGACCCACACGAAAATATAGGAAGTTGGCTCAGTTTCCCTTTCCAAGCCAAGATCGTTAGCCTATAGTAAACCTAATGAGGAAATAAACAGAGTGTGTGTGTGTGTGTGTGTGTGTGTGTGTGTTTTATCCTTGTCCTGCCGCCTCACAAAGTTTCCGTATTATAACTTGTGTCGTTGTTGAGGAGGAGCAGACCATGTTGTCGTCACTATGTCTATTGTCGTAAAATGTTGGGTGAATGGGAATGGGAAGTAGGGATGATTGGAAAGGTAAATGACCGGCTATGGAAGGGGAGATGGAAGACGGTGATAAGAATAGGTGGAGTGGGAGAGGAGGTGATAAATGTAAGAGAAAAAAAAGACTAGGATATAACTAAGAAAATAAATGGTTATGTGAAAATGGCCTGCCGAAGGAAACTCAAAGGGTATAGTGAAAAAAATGATCTCTCTCTCTCCCTCTTTAAGCTTACACGATTTTAGTACTCTTGTCTCATTATACGGAGTTCACCATCCCAGAGAGAGAGAGAGAGAGAGAGAGAGAGAGAGAGAGAAAGACTCTAATTTGGCGTGTGAGCGTCAGACAAAGTTTACTTCTGCAGGTGCCTGACGGAGCCAATATCGTGAAGGACACTTGAACACTGACTCTTCACGCCCTACCATCATAAACCCCCTCCCCCAGCTGTGCCAATGTCCACACTTATACAGTGACCTTGAGTAAACTAGTTACTCGTCTGTATGTGTGCGTGTATGTGTGTGTGTGTCTGTATATGTATGTGTGTGTGTGTGTGTGTGTTCGAGGACTAACACAATCACATTCAATTATATGTACAGCAAAAAAAAACGTTCTTTAATATTATTAATTCTCTTCTCACTTTTATTAAACTTACAGCAAGATGAATTAGTGATTAGGGATGATTTGTCCGGAATAGACACTGACAATTAGATCTACTATAGTTACCCTTAAAACAAAAACGGAGCATTAAAGAAAACGTGTAAAGTACTCCATAAGAGAAAACGTACATTATTTTTTTCCTAGCTAACAATTTCATTTTGATTTAACCTTCCTGGAATAAATTGTGCGTTACCGAATATTTACCTCAACAATTATATTTCAATCACACAGTCGCAGAAATACTAAAGATCTATTAATAATTACAACTACGGCAAAACTTATCGACGTTATGTTTGGTTATATTAAAAAATCTTTATATTTTCACTGTATGGTGTCTGCATTATACGTAAGTACAGATACATAACTCACTACGTGTTAAAAGTACAAAAATAAATACTTTCTCTGCGTATTAATAGTACATAAATAAATGCTCACTCTCTGTTTTAAAAGTATATAAGTAAATATTTTCTCTCCGTATCAAAAGTACATAAATACTTTCTCTCCGTATTAAAAGTACATAAAAATATTTTCCCTCACGTATTAAAAGTACATAAACATACTTAGTATCCGTATTAAAAGTACATAAATAAATACTTTATATCTGTATTAAAAGTACATAAAAATACTTTCTCTCCGTGTTTATATCCCTATACGTAGCTTAGGTAATCTTCCTCCATTTTACTATTTTACATTACTTTCAGGGAACTATTATCTAAACCACGAAAAGGAGGGAAATGAAGATAAAGAGGAAATCAGAACGAAAGAAACACATATGGTGGAACTTAAGCTTCGATTCACCAAGTTTACTCATTACTTCAATTGTTTTTTGGCTCGAAATTTCACACGGGTTTACGTTCCAGTTTATTGCCCAGTGAGCGAGGCGGATTTTCTTCGTTCATTTCCTTTCTAGATTATTGTTTATTATCTCCATTAAAAGTTGGCAGGACGGTGAAAGAGAAAAGATGGGAGTTAATGAAGAGAGAATACAAAGGCAGATAGCTGACGTGACTTTTAGCTAGGATGGATCCTCCCATCTTCTTATCCACTTCATCACAGTTGTGGGGGACAGGCCAACTTCATGTGCCACACCCAGTATGGAGAGACCATTATCACGGAGAGTGGTACTGTGACCTCTGAGCACCAACTCGTCTCATCAGCGGCAAATAATAACAACAACAACACACACACACACAGCCCACTTGTGTCGGTGTGTTTCAGTATGTGTCTTAGATGTGATATATGAGCTCTGTTCACCTACTTCTTATGGTGTTCATTCGAAACCAATTTCCCTAATGTATTCTCATATTCGAATGGATACTCCTATCACTACAGTTTTCTTCTCTCGTCAACAGGATATTCATATCAATATCCTTCCCCATCCCCTTATGACGAGAATTCGTTCGAATCACACTGATCCATTACTAGTTCCACTGTGTGTGTTGGTAGGAGGGTCGGCGTGGTGACCTGTCGTCCAGGAAGGGTACAACAGGCTATGCACCCTTCACCGCCAGTGTACCGTGAACGGAACTGTACCTTCATGCCATCTTGACATAACTCTTCTTAAACAAAATCAAAACATTGACCTAATTTACAGTGTTACTATTGAGCTCCACAACTAGACACCATTATTTGCGTCTCTTGCCGCCTCTAAAGGGTTCTTGGTTAATCTCAGAATGACTTAGTTGTTATAAAGTCTGTCTGTTCCTTTGCGTCAACTCTGCATATCGATATTTAAACTCGCGACCATTTAAATTTGCGACCACTTAAACGCGCGGGTATTTAAATTCGCAAACATTTAAACACGCGAACATTTAAGCAAGCAGACATTTAAACACGCGAACATTTAAGCAAGCAGACATTTAAACACGCGAACATTTAAACACCTGTGCTGTAATTTCTCCATGTTAACTCAAAAATCCTGTCTAATCCCTTTGTATGGATGTACTTTAACATGTTATGGTAGCACTTAGGGCCAATTGCAAGAACAGTCGTGGGGTGTACGACGCCATTTACGATGACTTTCAGCAATATCGCCTTTAACACATGGAATTCTGCACTTTTCGAAGCTTTGGAGGAGTCTCGAAGCAAGTTTCCTGTTGGGAATTATTAGCTAGTGCTGTACTCAAAATATCGAAACTTCGAGATCTCTCCAGAGCTTCAAACAAGATCAGGGCAAGAAGGTCATCGTAAATGGCGCCATACACCCCACGACTGTTCTTGCAATTGGCCCTTAAACACACCACTTACCTCGTTAGTTCACTACAGTTAATTAAAGATGCTTTCGGCACTGTTGTCACGAGAACTATGACTGAAGAAAACGAGCGCCGTTCTCCACCTCAACTCTCCCACAAGATTTTGTTTACAACCCGACGCGACATCTGGCAGCAGCACCACGAGTTATCTTTTCATTTTATAACGCGTCTAAAATAAGCTTTCCTGGCTATTCTTAACCCTTACTTCCTATCTACATGAATTCCACTTTTGTAGTTTATTAAAATGTTAAATCACCTTTAAATTACTATGGTTAACTTAGAAATAATTAAAGGTTTCATGAAAAAGGTTGTTGGGTAGAGTAACTGGCGCGTCTCTTGATACAACCATAGAGAGTTGCACTTATTGTTTATTTCTTGGTGGACGAGAACGAGTGTAAATAAGTATATGAACACATTAAAGCTATGATGGAAAATTCAATAAAACACTTTGCATTTTGTTATTACAGTAATTACTAAATGTCATGTACACGCTTGTTCCTGTCATGTTACAGTTCAATGTAATGTAATCATTGTACAGTATATCTTGGTTTTAAACGATGACCATTACGTCCTGTACAATGATAAACATCCTATATTAATACATAAACATTCATATATATATTATATACATAGTGCGTCTTGCCTTGGTTCCCGTCTTGCATTCATCAATACTATAATAATATAGTATGAGAATGCAGATATAGCAGAGACAATATATAACGAGTACAGGGGTTATATTACGTTATGTTGTAGAGATTATGATCGAGAGGTATGGCTGCTTTGCCTTTGATCGGTTAGAGTAAGTTTGTTTGGTTCATTATCAAGTTTGTGATGAATTGTGAATGATGCGAATATAGCTTAGTCATCTGTGGTAATTTTAAAGTGACTCATGTTACTTGGGGGTCTTAATTCAGTGTTTACTCGACTAGATTTATTGAAAACACAGACTTTTCGCACTAACTAAAAATCTACCCTCACCAATATGGAAGTTTCACCACAAAAAAGAAGAAGAAATATTTATAAATGTAATAAATATATCTATTTTAGTATTATATAATTAGCTATAAATGAACACAGTTGTATGCGGAATCTACCTCAGTATGCTATCTCTCGTTCTTCCATTGCACTGCTTACGGTACGCGATCTTCCACGATGATATTTTTAAGGAGTTGTGTGTGGGTGTGCTTTAAAAAGAGACATTTATAGTTTATTAACTGGTCTAAAAAAAAAACCCTATGTATTTTCATCTGTGAACTTATAAAATGATAGTTCACTTAAGTTAAAAATTGGTATGACTCTTTTCAGATCAACAAATAAACTACGATGCTCTCCTGTACACCCACACACTGGCCCCAGAGACATCTCCTGCCAGCAATAAACCTCTAAACTGGATCATTCACTTCACGTAATTTTCTAATGTTTTGCTACGCCCTCAACCTATTCTATCTTAATATTATAATTTCTCACATTATCCAAGTCTAACGATGGTAATAAAGGGATTGGAATATATAATCTAAATGTATATTAAGAAATATTATTACGTTTATACTGTAGGGTCTGAAAATTTACTGTATACTCGAACGCGAAGGGATAAGCTATACGTCAGCTGTTTACAATGGTTGACAGAAGCAAACATCGACTGTAAACTGTTTTGATTGGCATATTCTTGGGTCATATGAATAATGAACACTTTAAATATCTAAGTACCAATTTTTTTGTGCTGTTGATTCTCGTCGTCCAGAAGGAAAGGGAATGATGCAATACAATTTTTGAATTACCGACGTCTTCCATAAGGGATTAAAACACACACACATTTATAAATTTGATTATATATCTATCACTTGTTTTTTTTTTTTAGGGATTAGGGGTTCTGGGTATCTATTTTGTTTAAACTTATTTTATATTATTATACTCCTAAAACTCTACGATTCATTTCATTTTATAATAGTTTCTCCTTCAACATTCATTTTCTATAATTTCTCGGGTGTTTTCATTTTCTTTTTTCAATGGCTTACAATACCTTCCTGTTGGTACCTTAGCTTCCTTGATCTCTTATCCCCGAGGTAAAGCAGCGATAATGAGAACTGATCAGATGTAACAAATTCTCTATAAGCCACGCGACACACGCACATCTGTTTACACCATTCTACCGGATCTCTTAACCAGAAGAGAGGGATTGGCACAGGCTGAATAGTGTGAGTCGTGTGTTTGTTTTCCTCACATACACATATCCACCAGGGATGTTGAGTATAAATCAATGTAAATAACGTCTGTAGCTTGTGTGTATATACTGTAAAAGAGGAGGTATTGTGCTAAAAAAAAAAAGACAACAAGCTTTACCTTTAACCTTCTGTGGCAGACATAAGTTTACCCAAATTACTTTAAGAAATTCATCACCTGAAGATTTGCCCCACCACAGTATTTTTCATCTGAAGATTAACCAACCTAACGCTATCAGGGAGTCAGGTTAGTTAGTTTATTGTTATGTTAGGTTACGTTACGTTAAGTTACCGTTAGGGGGATTAATCTTCAGGTGAAAAAAGCTGTGGTTGGGGTATTCTTCAGGTAATTCTAAGAAATAAATAAAATAATGTACAGGTGCACTAGTTCCTGGGTGTCCTAGTCTTTCGTTCGTTTATACACACCACCTGTACACTGACTAGAGAATGTACACATTGGTAATCTATGGAGGCTGACCTAAGCCTGTGGGGGGTTGTTGAGTAGGATAACTTTACAGTAAGACACTTAGTGCATTAGTTCCTGTGTCATCGAGGCCACGAGGTCCACACGCCACAACAACGAGCTGGAAGGTGTTTGTTCTCAGGACCTCTTGTGGCCGTTTGACTTACTCGAGTGGACTAATATACAGCTGTAACCCACAAAATTGTCACTGTGGCGAGCCAACTGAGCTGTAGCCCACAAAATGCATCTGTTATTGAGGAGACAGATGCATCCTTAACTATGTACAGATGTTTTTCGCTGATGAAGTGAGTCCGTTGTGAAGTTCAGGTATGACATCCTGTTGACTAGAAGTGTCTTGGGTGAAGAAGGATAGGAGGAGGGGGCGGGGTTAGTGGCCATTGAGGTAGGCGGAGTAGAGCTTGCGGGTCTTCTCCTGGGCCCAAGGTCTCTCCAGGGATTGAGAGCGAGGCACACCAGCACCCGAGCGAGTCGTAGTCCTCACCTCCTCTCTCTTACGACGACACCACCTGCAGATAACACACAAGGTGACAACTGAGATAAATGATACTTGATGAAAAATACCATCACAAATAACACAGGCATAAAATTCAACTACAAAAATTACATTACACAGTTTTACCTGCAATAACACGTAGGTGAACTATTGTAACGGAGTCTTAGGCAACAGAACGAGAACAAAAAAAGACACTACCTCTACAGATATTACCTGACGCAACCCTTTAAGCTGAAAACAACTGACTTGATCTTAATAGGAAGACAGCATAAGGATGAGACTTACTCCTTATACGCCAGTTCACACTCCGTCTTGGACCTGGCATAGCGACTTTGATCTTCCAGCCGCCGTCTCTCTCCCCTCAGCTTCTTCTCCAGCCTTAGTTGTTCCCTCTTCCTGGACAGCCACGCCTGGAACGCATCCTCGGCCCGCTTCCTCCTCTCGGTCACCTCGGGAGAGTTCTTCCCTCCTACTGGGGCGTGATGGTGTCTGTCCAGGCCGCCATTAACCCCAGAGATGATGGTGGGGGAGAGGTGGGGGGAGAGGTGGGGGAGGTGGGAGGTGGGAGGTTGGGGGGAGGTGGGAGGTGGGGGGAGAGAGGTAGACAGTTAGTAATGTGATATATCATTGTGTTTGGATATCGTTGTTGTCAGGTGATATGTTAGTTGTTACAATAGTCTAGTTATTGATTAAAAGTGTACAGTTAGTAGCTAATGTATGTGGTTACGGATTTACATGTTACCACTCAGATATTTCTATAGTAACCACTCAGATGTTTCCATGGCAACACTTCATATCACCATAGTAACCACTCAGATGTTTCCATGGCAACACTTCATATCACCATGGTAATCAGGTAACTGTGTCTATAGCAACATTGCATAACTCACACACGTTGAAATAAGTTTTACAAATTAAGGTTAGTTTGCAAAATGACAATTGACGAAAGATGGGAAATAAATTGAAGTGTTTTTTTTATATTTAGTTATGATTGATTTAACCATTTAACGATACCTATTTAATTAACCCTTTGGCGACAATGATTTAAATAAGTACAGATAGTAATTCCTAAACCCTAAATTGGTAACAGTTAAGACTCTCTACAAACAGTGATATTTTCCTCAATATATCGTAGAGTCTAATAAAGTAGCGATATTGTTGGTGTTTAGAGCAGAAAGAGTGAGAGTAGCCTAGAGTAAACTGACAGTATTAGAGAGAGAGAGAGAGAGAGAGAGAGAGAGAGAGTTAATTACTTCTTGGTGACGGTTGCCTGTCTGTTCTTCTGTCTCAGCCACGCCTTGAACACCTCATCATTCTGTTTCTTCCTGTCCTCTGAGTCCTCCGTCACTCTGGTGAGGTATAGAGGGAGTTAATTAGAGTTCTGTTGAGGGTATTGTAACAGTTTAATAGATCAGGGTTCTACTGCAGCTACACAATAACAAATTTTAACAATTACGAGAGATGTATTGCTTGATACTTAATAACCCTGGAAGTTAATGTATTTACGTCGAACATAGTAACAACAACAACAAGTTATAATTATGTTACTGTAGTTATAAAACAACTTGAGTGAATATTTGTGTCAGTAAACAGTTAGTAGAATGGAAAATACAGTAAAATGTTGGCAGGATTTTTCTTCCCCTGATTCCTGCTATCGTTTTCTTTCTCAAAATTATCAACGTAAAAGAAAACTTTTATGGGTAACTAAAGAATATCTTTACTAGACTTACTTATGAAGGTCGGAGGCACTGGCTGCTTTCCGGACCTTGGCGTGTGGTGGTGCTCGGCCCGATGCCACAGGGCCGACTCGTCCTACAAGAGCGGGGTTGGTGGGCGCGAGGGCGAGACCGTTTTGGGCAGCAGTGGTGGGGAGCCTCACAGGGCTGCTGCTGGGAACTCTGGGACTACCCCCGTGTGGTCCCCCCGCCGACCTGTGGGCTGTGGGACGCACTGGCCCGCTGATGGGCGTCCGGCTACGCCCACGGATGTTTGTCGAAGAATACGTTGATAAACAGGAAGAGTAAGATGAGGAAGACGACGCGGAAGATAGCGGGGAAGAGGCAGAGGAGGAAGAAGAGGAAGAGGAGTTGGAAATGACGGATCTTGAGCCTGACCTCGACGCTGTTGTCGCTCTCGTTCTGTGGCGGCTGGAGTCACTAGTCTTCATGCTGTTGAGTTTATCAGAGGACAAGAGGGCGGGCTTGATCATGGGCGGGGCGGCGGCCACGTGCTTGGATTTTGTTCTGGGGAGAGCGGAGGACTTAGAGACGTCTGGCGGGGACTTACTGTCCGTCCTCTTCTTACTCCTCTCAACAGACGCCGCTGTAGACTTCCTTGGGCTCTGATCCTTCCTACTTCTGTGTCCTTGCTTCTGAGACCCAGAAACCTCTGAGCTGTGTGCGCTTTTGCTTCCGTGTGTTCGTTCAGGTGTTTTACAACTGACCTCTGACGGCTCCGGAGGGTCTGCCTTAGACTGAACAGGAGACGCAAGAGGAGCGACAGGAGACGCAGGACTTTCCTCTTCCTTACTCTCAGTCTCCGGGCGTTCTGATTCGTCTTGGAAGTCTTCGAAGTCGTCGCTGTACTCGAAGGAAGCAAAGTCGGCGTCACTCTTGGCTGGAAGCTGAAGATTTGTTGGTTCTAAATTGTCATTAGATTCTCTCCTCTGGAAGAAAGTATTTGTTTGTGTGTCTGCCTCGAGGCTACGTTCATTTATTATTAACTCTTCATTAACTACGTCCCCTAAACTGCTATGGCCCTTGTCTATATGTTCTCCTTCACTAACTTCTATGAGGGACATCGTGCCTTCTTTAACCTCCTCCTCGGGCGGGTTAAGTGAGTCCCCGGATAAACGCTCCAGGATATCCGAAGTGTCATTTTCCTTAATAAAAGTTTCTAGATCAGCCAGACCAGATTCGTCCACTTTCAACAGCCTCTTCTCACAGGGGACTTGTGAACATGACCTCGTTCGATCCTCCTCGACGAGATAATTGACCGCTGGCTTGACCTGAGACTCGTCTAGGTGGCCTCCAAGTTGGAGTCTGGGAACGTCAGCTTTACTCTCCTCTTGTCTGTTGTCGTTCCATTTGACTTTAGACTCATTAGTAACAATGAGACTCTTGATGTCTCCACTGGTGTCCTCCTGGTCTATGTTAGTCAGGTTCTCCATCAAAGTGTTATGATTCAAAGAGCCATTCTCCTGGGTCAAGTCAGCCATCAGGTCGACCACGTTGACATTACCTCCCAATATCTCCTTGACCTCGGAGGTAAGGGAGGTCAAGCCGTCCTCTTCTTCCGCATCGTAGAGGAGGTCCGACGAGTCTCCGTAACCATCGTCGGAATCTGCAATACAAGGATGGACTCAGTCATGCTTGTTAGGTCTCAGACAGAAAGACAAACAGACAAACAGACAGAAATAAAAAGAAAGACACAGACAAACAAACAAGGATAAAGAAAGAGAGACAGAGAGAGACTAGCAGACTGAGAGACAACACAAACTGCCTCACAATACCAACCGGAAGGGTAGCAATCTCTGGGTGATTGGTAATCCGCTATGACCTCCCTGAAGCGGACGGTGATGGCTCGGTCACATTCAGCAGGAGTTGGGTCTTCTATAAGCGCTCTGTTCACCTCCTTCAGCCTCTCCGTCATATCATACGACACCATATCCGCATCTGTATAAGGGGAGGATATATCACTATACTTCTTTATTGATATACTCGAAGATTTTCCCATATAGGTGTGATTTAAAGGAGGTATAGGTAATGATTTTTGGTGAGTTAATTGATTTACCTGTGGATTAGCCTCCCCTTAACCCCTCAAAGATTATTTCACCTGATGGTTTGACATTCTAATGCTACCTGGGAAGGGGTTTGGTTAGGGAAGGTTAGGTTAGGTTAGGTTAGGTTAGGTTAGGTTACAACTTAAGACTCACAAAGGACAGACTCACAGTAGGAATCATCGTCATCATCATCGTCAGAATCATCGTCCTCATCGTCGTGGTGGTGAGAGGCCTGAGGGAGGAGGGAGGGGGAGGTGCGGGAACGAGCCTGCTGAGGGGTGGGGTAGTTCCAGGTGAGCGACTCTAGCTCCATCAGTGCTGCTCGTTGGTCTGCTGTCACGGTGTAATCATCCTCCGCGTCGGTGATTCTGTAAAGTGAGGAGTTGTTCGTAGTAGTTGTTGTTGGTAGTAGTAGTAGTAATAGTAGTAGATCCCACTTTCATCCTCCAATCCCTTTCCTTTCCTCCCTTCCCTCATTATCTCTCTCTTCCTCTTTCTCTTCCCCCGCCCCCCACCCCTGCCCTTTTCCTCCTTCCCCCTACCTGGTAATGAGAGAACACCCACCCCTCCATCCCCTAACTACCTCACACAAGTTACGACACACAGATCAGAGTCAATAATGGGTGTTTTGAGTTGGACTGTGGATGTACTGTAATGTGAGAAATATGATACTTAACTCTCTGAGGATAAAGGGTTAAATCATTGTCTTCAAAGGGTTAAATCGTAGTATTCAAAGGATTAAATCATCGTCTTCAAAGGGTTAAATCATTGTATTAAAAAACTTAAACCATCATCATCATCATCATCACCGTTGCGCTCCTCGGCCACATCACCGTCAGAAGACTATCAGTGACTTGGTTCTCTCCCCACCGTAATGCACAGCTTGATCAATACTAATTATTTTCTCCCCATTGTTTTGATTTAAAGCTTTATCCACGGTCACACGAGACACCTGCAGTTACGGGGGTGGGAAGGGTAGGTGGAGGGTTGGTAGTAGGGGGAGTGGGCGGGGTGGGTGTAGAGGAGGGGGTAGTGGGGGGAGTGGGCGGGGTGGGGGTAGGTGGAGGGTTGGTAGTAGGGGGAGTGGGCAGGTGGAGGGTAGGGGGGAGTGGGCGGGGTGGGTGTAGAGGAGGGGGTAGTGGGGGGAGTGGGCGGGGTGGGGGTAGGTGGAGGGTTGGTAGTAGGGGGAGTGGGCGGGGTGGGGGTGGATAGGGGGACAACATATGAAGATGCAATAATTCTCTTAGAGGAATATAATCTCCCATGTCGTTTGGAAGTAATTATTAGCAATTATTTGGGTGTTATTATCCAATTGGTCATAGTCATTCCCACACACACACATAGCGTCTTGCCTCACGTGAACCATCTAGTGAGCTTTGTGTTGTCAGTAGCAGTCATGTTATGTGTGAAGTAATGTAACCTTCTAAAATAGACTGCAAATAATTAACAAAAAATAATTATTCATTGTTTTTAAAATAATTAGTCAACGTTATTAAAGCCCCTTGAGTACTATGGGTTAATCTCATGAGTACTGTGTTATTGTACTCAGGAGGATTAGCTATCGTATGTAAAATGATAAGACATCGTACATAAAAAGATTAAATATTGTACTCAAGAGTTTAAATCATCGTACTCAGGAAAAATTTATTAGTACTCAGGAAAAAGGCAGCAATATTCATAAACAAAATCTAACACTCAAATCACAACATATTTTACTATGAAATTTATATATATTCCTCATTTATTTTTAACCAACTTTCAGAAAAACTATAAAATAAGAAAGAAAAAAATTACGTGTTATCAGAGCTTGTTTTGTTATGATTTATCTTTACGTCATGGTGGCAGACACACGAACGCCACAGCCAAGTTGTTTACAAAAGTGGATTTTGATACACGAACGACATCTTTAGTTTATTTATAAATACGGATTTGATGTAGTGTTTAGAAAGAGGACAGGGGGGGGGGGGACTTGGTGTGATAATGAAGTGAATAATGAGGAGATATTGAAAAAGATAAACCCTAAAGGAACGATAATAAGCAGATGATAGAATAAATACGATGATAAAGATAAGAGAAAAATAAATAAACGGAGATAAGGAAGGTTGATACGTAATATAGACAGATAGACAGAGATAATAAGAACAACTCACTGAGGAAAAACAACAAAGACAGAAACATTTAACTAAAACAGAAAGACAAAAACAGACAGACAGACAGACAGACAGACAATAACATGAATATACCACAGACAAACACACACAGACAGCAACTAAAAGAAACTACACAGACAGACACAGACACACCAGAGAGACTTCTACTCCACAGACTCAACCAGAGGGATTCGAACCCAGCGTCCCCTACACACATCGAGCGAGGAATAGGATCAATAACAACTCATGAGCCAGCGACACGAAACCCACATCCTCCTTCTCCTCCTCCCCTAGAACACCTGTCCGTATATCAAGGTGTGGAGGGTAGCCCAGGTAAGGTAGATGAACACTCTCTCTCACTCTCTCTCTCACTCTCTCTCTCTCTCTAACAATCAGTATGACCTAAATCTGACCCAAATCTGTAGGTGCAAGAGAGAAAAAGAGAGAGAGAGTCTATTCAGGTAGAGAATTACATATCAGATTTCTCATTCCTTGCTTAATTACCCAGGTTGATAAAATAGCCCTCATAAGGCACGCAACACCCACGTCTCAAACCAGGTAAACCCCTCACACCCCTCCCCGCCCCACCCCACACGCCTCACCTGTCTAGTGAAGGAGGCGAAGCAGAAGGGAAGAGGAAGGAGTATTTTGTGTAGGTTAATTTTTTGTTGCTGTAGGTATGTTGATTTGAGGTGATATGGAGTGAATGACAAATATGTTATATATATATATTTGTATCTAAATTACATTTGTATCACACACACACATACACACGCACACCTTCAGGATTTATTGAACAGTCTCCAAAATTGGGCCACCAACAACCACGTCACCATCAACCGTACCAAGACCATGGTTATGCACATCAACCTCTCCTCCGACGTTGTCCCACCTCCTTCCATTACTTTAGGTCTCAACACACTCCAGGTTGTAGATTCCACTAAGTTCCTCGGCGTCACCATAGACAACAAACTAAATTGGAAACCACACGTCAGTGAAGTTTTCAAATCCTCCAGTTTCCGTCTCCACCTCCTCCGCCGACTCAAGTCCCTCGGAGTTCCTGCACCCGAGCTCCTCAGTGTTTACTCAACATTCATACTTCTCAAGCTCACCTATGCCTCCCCCACCTGGTCTTCCTCCCTAAATGCCACACAACGTAAACACATAGAAAAGGTGCAAAAGAGGGCATGCAAGATTATTCTCTCCCCTTCCTACTCCACATATCAAGAAGCGCTCAGCACACTGACCCTCTCGACTCTCACTGACCATCACCACGACCTCATCTGCAAATTTGGTGAGAAGCTTCTGCACCATCATCGACATCGGCCCCTACTACCACCTGAGATCCCTAGCCCGAGAATTGCTGTTCGATACCACAACCGCATCCAGCCCATGCGAGCACGAACTGATCGCTATAAGAACAGCCCAGTCCCAACTAATGTAAAAATTATCAATAACTTGTAGTCAACCAGTGTATTCACTTCCAGTCAATATTACTTTTTGCACTGTCACTATGTTGAAATGCCCTGTAGTTTGAGCTTCTCCCCACCTAGTTATTATACATCATATTTGTATCACTTATGCTACCTGTATATATTTTCAGCCTTCTGTATATTTTCAGGCACTTTCAATAAACCGTTAATTATTATTATTATTATTATTATTATTATTATTAAAAACATAGGTTCAGCCAGGAAGGTAAATCAGTATTTTGAGTGTTTTATTATGTTTTGTCCAACGAGACGAGTACTTAAATCAGGTTTTATCCAATGAGACGAGTACTTACATTAGGGTTTGTCCAACGAGATAAGCTTCCATAATACGTATTTTAAGCTTCATTATATCAAGGTGTCTCTTCTACCAGACTAAAGACGATACGACAATCCTCTTACCTGACTATGACTATGATTTTAAGATAAACATTATGTAGATGACGAGTAATAACAGAGCTTAGCATGAATAGGGGGGCTCTAAGCTTATTAATATGAGTTAAACGATAAAAGGATGAATCTCAAATGAATGACTTTAGAGTTTAGTGATATATTGGCATTTAATTTAATGTTTATGCGATGTCTTAGTGGTTTCTCATTACTTTGGGGGTATTTTAATAGCGTAATTCTTGATGTTATTGCGTTCTATTGATGTTGTGAGATGTTTAATGATGTAGTTTATGATGTTGTGGTGTTGATAGTGTAATGATGCTTTGAGCTATTTTATCCTATCCCTTCCATCTATCCCTTCCATCTATCCCTTCCATCTATCCCTCCAACCTAAGGTGAAAAATTCCCAAATGTTCCCGAATCCCAAATCCAATGAGCATTTCTCACGAGGAGATTAGAGGAGCTTAGAGAGAATAACTCCGACGTGACATACTCCTGAGTACGGTGGTCGAGTGGGTACAATAATCACTTCCTATTCTAAGCGTCGCTGGTTCGATCCCACTTCTACTTAGCTGTAAATGGGTACCTGATTGTAAGATGAGGAAGTGAAGGAGGTCGAGTGCAGTGCCTTATTGTGTTGTTATCAATGGCATAGTCTTACTGTTTGCTCGGGTATGTAGCATCAGAAATCAGTGTTAGGAGAAAGCTGTAATGTGATCAATTGTTAAGATTTCCGGTAGTAAATAAACTAGGGTGTCTAATCTTCAGGTCATCTGGATAAAGTGGTTAATGAGACCATAACCATTTATAACTCACCACTACTAACACCAATACCACCACTAACACCAATACCACCACCACTAACACCACTACCACCACTAACATCACCACCACCACCACCAATACAATCACCACTAACACCACCACTATCACCAAACTTTATAATTCCAGAAGTCTAGTTTATGAAGGCCGTCGAACGTTTATAATCATTAACTCTCAACATGAACAGTCGCGTCGCATGAAAACGTTTGGAAGGAACACTGCAGTAGCTCCACCAGTCACGGAACGTTTGGAAGGAACCCTGCAGTAGTTTTACCAGTCACGGAACGTTTGGAAGGGACACTGCGGTAGTTCCACCAGTCACGGAACGTTTTCTAGTTAATATTTCATTGGTTATTTTGGCATTTGTTGTGAGAGGAGAGGAGTGGGAATAACTTTGGTCTATGAGGAAGGCTGGTATATAGGTGTTTTGGGGTAGTGGGGTCCTCTGGTGGTGAGAGCCGGTACTAGGGCCCTCTGGTGGTCAGTGAGAGTGGGTACTATGGCCCACTGGTGGTG